AATCGATCGCCCCCCAGGGGGGATGGTCACGCCGCAATCCCTTCTCCTCCATTCTCCTCTCGGGATCTTGGGCATGCACGCACACGCACCCGGCGTGAGTTTCAAGTCGACCCGGACGTGAACCGTGGTCGACTACACGCTAACTGCTGGTCCCCACAGTAGGTTTTTAAACTTTCTAAAGGCAGGACCAGCAGGTGATGTGGTGGATAAGGCGCTGGACACCCACATGGCTAACCACAGTCCTGGATCTGGAGGCCTGCTTTCTCACTTGCTCTCTCTCTGTCTCTCTCTCTCCCCCTCCCTTTCTCTTTCTGGTCAAATTTATTTTTAAAAAGTAATAATAATAATAAATAAAATTTTAAACATAAACAATTTTTCTAGAGGTAGCTCACCGCCCCCGTTCAGTCGTGCAGTCCTGTGGACTCTACTGCTCACTGTACTGGATTCAGCCATGTCTCTGCACCCCCAGGGCTTCTATTCCAGTAAAGGCAGCTATTCCTTGCCTGAATTGCTTCAGCAGCCTGCAAACAGATTTACTGGCCCTTCAGTACTTTCCCCTTGATGATGTCCTAACGATTTTTTTACAATATAAATCTAATTGTGCTGCCTCCTATTTTAGACTCCTTAGAAGCCATTATATATAGCTTGTCTGATGAAGTTCAGCTGGCTAAGGAGGGCACATAAGGCCCTTTCTTTTCTTTTCTTTTCTTTTTTTTTTTTGGAGAGGTTTGTGCTATAGGGCACGTGTGGTCACCAGACAGAGACAGAGAGACAGACAGAAAGTGAGAAATCAGCCCCCAGGGGGTGATGGCCACGCTGCAATCCCTTCTCCTCCATTCTCCTCTCGGGATCTTGGGCACGCACGCACATGCGCCCGGCATAAGTTTTCAGCCACTGGGTCAAGGACGCGAACCGCGGTCGACTATGTGGGAGTCCAGCGACATAGCCCTTACGCCAACTGCTGGTCCCCACATAAGGCCCTTTCTGATCTGGCCTCAACGTACCTCTCACAGCCCATTCCCGTTGCCCCAGCACCAGGATGCCTATGATACTCCAAAACCCAGACTCTCAGAGGGACACGCTCCCCTCCTCAGGGCCTGGCCAGATGCTGTGCTTTCCCTGGCTGACCTCTGGTCATTTCCGGCACTGCTTCCTCTGGGAAGCCTTCCCTGGCCTTCCAGGCAGGGTAAGAGCATCAGAAAACAGCGGGAAAGCCCTCCAAGAGCAGGTCCTGCAGGCCCTCGCCGTTTGGGGCTGAGTCCTTCATTGTTCCATCATGGCGGTGAGTGAGGGGAGGCCCGGGAGTGGCCAGGGGCTCCGACAGTGACTTCCAGTCAGTCTGAAAGGACTCTTGAATTTAAGGATGCCTTTGGCCTGACTGGCACCTGGCACCGCTGTCGCCTCTGCTCCTGTGCTCCCGTGGCACCCACGCACACACCTCCACACGTCACGAAGTTCTGCAGCAGTCGTGGTTAGGTCGTCCCCCACGTGGGCTGGAAGACCCTGGAGAGCAGGCCTTAGCTGGCGCTGTGTCCCGGCATCAGGAGACAGCAGACCCATGACCAGAACGGGATCTGACACTGGTACAGAGGGTGGCACTGGCATGGAGAGATGAGGGCGTGATCGTCGCTCCTACCGAGTGGGCAAGGGAAGGGACTCTGCCCTGCGAGCTTCCAGTGACAGTGTGACAAGAGTGTGTGCGCTTGCTGGAGACACAGAGACAGAAAGCAAGAAATCACTGCCCGGGGGGATGGCCACGCCACAATCCCTTCTCCATTTTCATCTGGGGATTTTGGGCATGTACACATGCGCACCCACCATTGGTTTCAAGCTGCCTGGTCCAGGACTCGAACTGTTGTCCGTCACGTGGGAGTACAGTGCCTGAACCACTATGCCATCTGCTGGCCCCAAGAGAGGAATGTTGACAGCTTCTGGGTATGCTGCAGTCCTCCCGCTGCTGCCCAGTGAGCTGGGACCACGGGCGTGTGCAGCCATGCCAGCCTGTCCGGGTTGGACTAGAAGCTGAGACCAGGTTGTCAGGTGGGCCAGGCTCACACAGTGGTAGTCCACCACATGTCGCACCACGACTGGGCCCGATATTCTAATCCCATCATTCTTTCCACTACACGGAAGAAGTCTTCAAACTTCAGTCTTCAAAAGCAATAGGCTGAGACCAGCAGGTGGTGTGGTGGTTAAGGCACTGGATTCCCACATGGCCAACTGTGGTTCAAGTCCTAGGCCCGGTGTCTTGAAAATCACACTGGGCACAAGTGCATGTGTGCCCAAAATCCTGACAGGAGAATGGAGGAGATGAGATTGCAGCATGGCCATCCTCCCTGGGGGGTGATTTCTCACTTTCCTTCTCTCTGTCTCTCTCCAGCAAGTTCATGTGCCCTACAGCAAAAACCCTAAAAAAAAAAGAAAAAGAAAAAGAACAGAAAAACAATAGGCTGTTCTTAATCAGCTGAACATGCCCACAGTCCCTGCAAAAAGACCTAGCAATCTTTTACCAGGGTGTGATTGTAATCTGTGATGTCTGACAAAACTTCCACACAAATTGAAACAGCTTATATTGCACCCTCAACCGGAATTTATAATTAAACATACGGCTGGCTACAGCTGCCCACACAGAAATCCAAAGGCTGCATGCTTCTCTTTCCAATTAAAATCGCAGAAGAGTTCAATCTCTTTAAAATCTTCTCCCCCAAAGAATCAATTAGGCAATATCATTTAGAGAACCTTAGAAAAAATAGATTTTACTTTATTGCACTTGGAAATGTTAAGTGGCAACTGACCTCAACTCACTTTCTTCCGATTTGCATTTTACAAATGGCTTCAATTTCAAGCTGAGAATTTGTAGGACCTAAACACCCCTCGGAGACCTTTCTTTAAACTCCTCTGCAAGTTGCTTGGCCTCTACTATAAAGAAACTTTCAAGACAGTTATTAAGTATATGAAAAATATGAATCTTGGGACCAGCAGTTAGCGTAATGGCTATGTCGCTGGACTCCCACGAAGTCGACTGCGGTTCGCGTCCCAGACCCGGTGGCTTAAAACTCACACTGGGCACGTGTGCGTGCGTGCCCAAGATCCCGAGAGGAGGATGGAGGAGAAGGGATTGCGGTGTGACCATCCCCCCGGGGGGTGATTTCTCACTTTCTTTCTCTCTGTCTCTCTCTGTGTGTCTGGAGAGTGCACGCACCCCATAGCAAAAACCTCTGAAAAAAAAACAAAAACACAAAACATGAATCTTTTTTTTTTAATTGTATATTACAGTTAAATTTAAATGTTACAGAATGAATAGCTGACTATGAAAACTGATTTGCAGATTTGGAGCTACTTAATAGGACGTTTTTGAAACTCTGCAAGTTTAAATTTCCTACAATATTTTCTCTATGAAATATATATATATATATATATTTCAGTTCCATGTAAATCTGGTAGCAGGTTTAAGCTGATAAAACTCGTACTAAAATAAAAGCACAGGCTTCTGGGAGAAGCAAGGAGTATGGGGCTCTCGGAGCTGTGCTCTCTAGTCTGCGCTGTGAAATTCCAGACCGAGGGAGCACTTGCCACGCCCATCCTTTGAGATCCCAAATGCAGTCTGGCATGTTACAGGTTTTGAAAGAGTTTTCATTAAAACGTTCCAGCTGAGGGACCGGCAGATGGCATAATGGTTATGTCACTGGACTCCACATGGCTGACCACAGTTCAAGTCCAAGACCCAGAGGCTTGAAACTCATGCCAGGCACATGTGTGTGCATGCCCTAAATCCCAAGAGGAGAGTGAAGGAGAAGGAACTGTGGCATGGCCATCCCCCCTTTGGGAGATTTCTCACTTTCTGTCTCTCTCTTTCTGTGGCCAGTGTGAGCACAAGTGCCCTATAGCAAAAATCTCTCTAAAAAATAAACAAAAAAATTCTAGTTGTATTTTTAAATCTGTTTCTCTCAAAATTATTGAGTCCATGAAACTTGTTTCCTTCTTTAAAAACCTCTTGCCTTCTTTTTTAAAAAGAATTATTTATTTTTATTTTATTTATTCCTTTCGTTTTATTTTAATTTGACCAGAGAAAGACAAAGAGAGAGAGAGAGAGTGGGAAAGTGAGAAAGGAAGCCACCAGGTCCGAGACTTGAACTGTGGTCAGCCATGTGGGAGCGTCCAGCGACTTAACCACCACGCCACCTGCTGGTCCCAAACAATTGCTGAGACTCGAACTGTGGTCGATTAGCCATGTGGGAATCCAGCGCCTTAACCTTCACGCCACCTGTGGATGCACCTTCTTAGGGAATCATTTTTTGCAGAAGACACATTGGAAAAATACTGATTTAATAATTTTCCATTCAAGAAAGTCCCCCAAAGTATTTTCTGCAAGGATCTTTCTTCATTCATGTTATTTTAATAAAGCATGGTGTCTAAAACATGATTTATGTACTTCAACTACTAAGACCGCTATAACAATCTTGAGAGTATGAGCCTGTGAACAGTTCAACTGGAAAGTCAGAAGGAGCTTATCAGGGGTGCTCCTCACTGCTAGTCCAAGGGG